AGAGAGAGAGAGAGAGAGAGAGAGAGAGAGAGAGAGAGCAGAGCCACCGAGCCAGAGAGACAATGGAGAAAGGGAAAGGATATAGAAGTGGAGAGTAAGCACAGAGAGGGGGGTGGGGTGGGGGGGTTGGAGAGGGAGTTGATGTTGATACCATGAGAAAGCATAAAGGCTTTCACATTTTTCCTGACTGACCTGCTTTTCATCTTGAATGTGACCTCTTGAGTTTATAACAACACAGAGTGAGGGCAGAGAGAAAGTGAGTGGGGGAAAGAAGCGCTTGCCAAATCTTCCACAGCTCCTGCCAATCTGGGCCGCTGCCATCTCCCAACCAAGAGACACAACGAGAGACCGAGATAGAGCAACACCAGAGGAGAAAGGGAGAAAAGATAATATGGCATTCTCTACCTGCTGCTCCTTTAAATGGGTTCTTCCAGCACGCAGAGCAGGGGCCATTATCCAGCTGCCTGCCTGCACCCAAGCAAAGCCTGGCAGATTAGTGCACTTACATAAACACCGGCCAAGACTGGTGCACAGGCAAACACACACAGCTTGGACCAAGTGCTCACTGACACAACCTTTGCTACACATATCCTACGTGCACGCACACACGGCAGGCAGAGCTATTGGGTTTAAGACAGAAGCGTTACAAAGCCTAGGTGTCCCTTGTTTGAGATAGCAGTCTTTATGAATAGTGAAGACAAGAGTGCTCTATTCTCAGAGTGTGGCCATGCCATCCTTCCAGGCAAAGCTGTCTGGCACTGCCATGCTGGAATGTCGATGTCCTCCTTGGCACTATAAATGCAATTATTCAGATCTGTTTAGCTCAAGGGGATAAACACATTAGCATTGGGACACCTAAGCCTCTTTAAAACATATACATGTCAAGCACCTGCCAGGGAAAGCACTTTTGACAAGCTTATTCAACACTATGAGGAAATGGGGGGAGGGAGGTTATGATCTTGGAATCATCTCAGTTCTTGGAAGGGGAATCCCTTTTGGCAGGTGTGGGGGTGGTTGCTAGAACTGATGAAAAACGGTAAGAGCAGCTCCTCCTCTTCAGTCCTCTGTACTGTAGCTGGGGTTCTGTGGTTGTGGTTACATAAGCTCTTCATAGAAGCCCTGCTACCACCAAGCTGCCAAGCTAATCCTCTGGGATGGAGCACCCCACTAATCCCACAGCAGGAGAATGGAACTGAAGACATTAACCAGGATTACTACACAGGACTGTGTTCAAGCCAGGCCAGCGCCAGTTATTGCAAAATAACCCCTTAACACACAAACCTGCACGCATACACAAAGCCCAATTTGCAGGAGACACTAAACACAGTAAAAGCAGATGTAAACTCCTGGACTAAAAGTGGTTTCAATATCACATTCAAGGTGCAGAGGCACTTTATCTGCAGTTGATGACAAGGGAGGACAGGTTAAAATCGTGAGAAGCAGAACTGAGAGTCGCACAAAGCATGATGACACATCACACACAAATGGCCACAAAGCAGCTGCCTTGCAGTGAAATTGGGTTGAGTCATGTACAAAATGCAAGACTTGACATCACAAAGGGGGTACTTAGTCACCTAAGACTAAGATTTTAAAAATCATCTATAAAAAGATGCATAATACATGGATAAGGTGGTGTATTTGCTAAAGTGAAGAGTCAAAGGTAAAGCCATTTAGAAATGTTAAAATTACTGATTGGAGCACTAACCGTTTTATAAAACTTGCTAATTTTTCTTTTTTAAATACCCAGATGAGAACCAGATCTTACCACCAATCTGTTGTAACAGATCAGTGGAGAATCCCAATTAAAAGAGTAGCATGTGGCTGAAAACACTGAGAATGAGAAGCTCATTCAATAAGTAACTGTACGTAACAAACACTTAAACACACACGCAGAGTGTGCTGGTACAATGAAAATGGCTAGAATGTCAGCGACCTCTGTGAATCAGCCATAGGCTTCTGGGTAATCTTCAGTCAGAGACAATAAACAGCTAAGTTAATGACTGCTACATTTGCAGGGGCTGGCTGATAAGGGGCAGACTTTACAGCCTCCTTGATAAAAGACAGGCTGCCTTGACCCAGAGAGACAGAGAAACGGCTCCAAAGAGCAACAGACCACATCCAGGCAGACTGACATTCATGCATAGACACAACCTAGCAGCACGTGGCGGTTGCTGCCTCATTAACAGGAAGTCACAGCCGCATCATTTGTCTGTGCTTTCGAACAGTGCTTGAGCTGCTAATGTTGTTTCCTTTGACATCTATATTATAATGCACCGTTATGACAATGAAGCTACACATTGCAGGGAGAAGAAAATTTTATACTGTATTACCTTTCTTGGCAGTTTCCATCTCTTCTTCAGTCCAGCGAGAGCTCTCATTCATCTCCAGATTGGCTGTCAAAAAAAATAGAGAACCACCAAGTTAGAGAAGGCGGGAGGAGGGGGGAGTGGGCAGTTGTCACAAAGTCAGTTAGGGAGTGACTGACAAGAGGAAAGGAAGGAGAAACAGAAATTAGAGAAGAAAAAAAGAATAAGAGAGTGGGGGGCAGGGTGGCTTGTGTGGCTTGCCAGTGAAGCACTGCAGCATGGGTCGCTAGGGACTGTTTGTTTTAGATGGAGGAAGCAGGAAATCCAAGGAGAGAAGTCAGTTAATGATTATAGACATAACAACTGGCTTCTTTCCCTGCACAGGCCATAAGCCAGGCTGTCCCTGGCCCTGCGTGGCAGACAGCAGAGCTCAAGACTGTGCTTATGTGTCCTCTATATGGACCTGTGAAGGACACAGTGGACTGGCCAGCACTGCTGCCACCAGGGGAGCAAACAGTGGCAGGGGTGGGGCTGCTGACTGAGAGCCCCTACAGTCCAAGTCACCTGGGGATTCCCTGTGACCAAACCTCTGCTGCAGGAACGACTGCAGCATGTACACACAACTGCTGAAACATCAAAAATCCCATCCTAGCCTGCAGCAAGAGTGTTAGTGTGTGCACGGCTGACTTACCATCTGCGAGGAAACAAAGCGCTAAGCGCGCGGGGGGGGGGGGACACACACGACACTGCTGACACATAGCATTTTGTTCTTAAATAATACTTCTGTCTTTTGCCAACAGATGGGAATTTGACTACATATCAAATGCACTCACTATGTTACTCTGTTTTGATTTCTTATCGTGAGTTGTTGCTTTTGCAAAAAGCAGTAAGTGTAAATGAACAAAGACAAAAGAACATTAGTGCACTCTTGTGGTGTGGGACAGGAGACCACAAGTAGATCAAAGGTGACCAAACTCAATTCTGCATAATGGCGATGAAATGTGTACATGTAAACCTTTTCTATTGCTTAATGGTTCTTGCCGGATGCTGGTCATTAGACAGTTTATCATCTTCCAGTTAAAAATAACTAAATAATAAATTATTAGAAAGTTAGTTTATATTGAATAATAAAGTGTAGCTTCATGTCTGTGTCTTTGTTTATTTTATCAAAATTTTTTTTTAAATGTGCTCAAAAAATAGTCTACTAATATTTGTCCCCAATGTCAGAACAGATTTATGCATTAAAGCTTCCATAAAGCATCCCCTTTCTCCTGGAATAATGTAAAGATGGACCTGAAATTGTCAGAGCTGGTTACAACAGAGGACTTTTGAGTCCATTTTAAAGGTCAAGGTGATTGTTCCTCGACTTGCTCTAAAATCATAGTTGAAATTGTGCTGATTTTGTCCTTAATCTTTTATTGCATTTGAACTAGATATTTTGTTCTCATTTGCAGTGTGACAATTGTGTGTCTGTATGTATTGTTTGTGTTTGTTGTTACAGTGCTTGCTGCTCTTTTACATTGTTAAATAAAGAATAATCTAAAAATATACAATACTTTAATTGCAATTTGTCCAAGAATTCATTTAATGTTTAAGCACATCCCACGCCCCAATATAATATGTAATGCCCATGCCCATTTTTCTCTGATGTAAACATAAAACAAGACAGTGGAGCGAGTGATACTAATTTGGTGCAGCGAAACTGAGACTGACCAAGTTCATTGTTGAGTGGCGGTGTGGTGGTCTCCTCCACTTCACTGGTCATGGAGCGGGTGATACGGCCTTTGCGGCGTCCCTGGCTATTGGCTGTGCGTCGACCCTTGAAAGCAACAGCAGGCTCTTTGTCCTCTGCATCTTCTCCAGAGGTGTCGTCCCTGCATTTGAGAAATGTTAGCACCGTCAGCAAGAGATACACCAGGTTTATGAACGATTTGCATATTACGGTTCACTGATATGGCTCAAAGCCAAATAAGCGGTCCACTCCTTTTTGGGCAGCAATGAAGGGCACTGATAACAATAATTTAAAGTAAAAGAGTTGTGTTTTTGTCCAACAACAAAACATTCTCTGTCTAATTAAACAAGTGTTTCATTAAGTTTTAAGTATCTGCTGATCACTACAAATCACAGACTCTAAGCCGTCAATGACGGCAAAAAAGTTACAATCAAATGTTTGATATGACGACTTTGGGCCTATTTTCTATATAATGGGGCTGTAAAATCTCTAAACTGCTGTAAACCAACACAAATATATACAACAATTAAATTAAAAAGCTGACACTTAGATTTCAAACCCATAATGCTAAAATACTGAGCTGGCAAAAAGTGTCTTACAACAATAGAATTTGCAGGCTGCAATATACATTGTGAGACTTGATTCGAAATCATTAAGATGTAAAGTTTTTACTAATAAGAAGTGTAAGGAGATCGCTACAGTTAAGTAATAACAATCCAATATATTCCAAGATGCAAATCAGGGCCATGCTGCTATTCAGTCAGTCCCAAAATGTAAATTCAAACTTACATCCATCACATCGTTAATGCTAGACTGCACCGACTTTAGTGACACAAACCTAGGGACAGACATGTTTGTCTGCATGGGGACATTTGAGAGTGTTCAAGAATGAAACACACATTTGGAAATGTGAATGTGTATGCACACGTTGCTTTTTCATTCTTTTTATTTGCGGGATAATTTATCGGGTGTCAGCACAATGGCATGCCAAGAGACAGCCACCGAGTTTGAACCCTCTGCTCCTCCATTCATCTTCCCCAAGCTCCATTAATCTTGCTGAGGGGAGCTGGTGGCACACTAAATATAGGCAAGCCAGCTGTGCCAGGGGTGACAGGCAGGCAGAAGGGTGTGCTGGGAGTCACGGAGTCCCCTGGCCTTGTCTCAGAGCAGGGAGGCAGTAAGCAACGCTTCATCATCATCTTCTAGCCCGAAACAACTGCTAATAAATATGACCTGCCATAGCTTGAAACTGTTATAGTGTACAGCCTCACCTGACAACATCCCAAATACAGACATAGATTGCTGTATTTATCTATTAGTTTTCAGGCAACAGAAAGCAGTGTACTCCATCTGTTGTTTTTCATCCTTTGCTGGCACTGTGCCCAAAAACACCCCCTCCTTCACCAGTGCACCCACCTGCCCACCCACACTCCTCTTTACACACTGACATTTCAAACTGACAGCTAGGTTAATTACAGTGCTTATTTTCCTCCACAAAAAACAACCCAGACTAAAAAAATAAGCACAGAATTGTAAAAATGAGACTTGGCATTCTATTGGGAAGGGGAGAAACATAAACAGGAAAACAGCTGGAGTATTAGGGAGAACGAATGGATGCTCCAATTTGCCGTAGGTGGAAAGTCTGGCTTGGGGTGAGGGAGTAAGAGCTCAAGGGTTACAGAATGATTGGATTTCCAGATCCACTCCCACTAGCCAAAATTTACTCCTACTCCATTTCCTGTATGCTGACCTGGAACAATTTTAAAAATGGTGAGTTGGAGAAATGGAGTGAGCTCGAAGATCACTACAGTTAGTAGTGCAGATAGTACAGGTTGTGGCTCATACAGTATGAAAAATGCTACAAAACCATTTAAACCGGCTTCATCTTTTCTTCTTACCGTCATTGTGCTCTTCCAATGAACAGTAACAGTGTTTCCTCTACATTCATTTAGGAGTGGCGGGTGCCATTCCTAAATCCTAGCCGACACTCCTTCAAATTTCTTTCTTTTTTGTTTTTTATTGTCACAAATACACCACCACCGCATGTCTCCACCTTCACAGCGGAGTTCCGCACTGGGTCAATACTCGCAAGTACCAAGGTAAACTACAGATAACTGTCTTGCTCAGTATCTACTCTTTGGGGGGTTAACATGACTATAATTACTGGCGAGTGCTTCGGTAAACTACAGATAATTATCTTGCTCAGTCTCTACTCTTTGGGAGGTTAATACAACGCTAATTACTCGCGAGAGCGCGGCCTTGAAACTGACATTATGTCCAGCACCAGGCTCCAGGTCAGAGTCAGAGGAGGGTCGTCTTGGAGAATAGGGCAGCGACACACCAGAGAAAAGGCGGACTTATGAGCTTAAGATAACTCAGAATAGATTTTACAAGTTAAACAGACATTCGCAAAATACTGATGGCCAGCTAACGTTACGTAGCATATCGGTATCTTAACTTAATTGGGCCCGGGGCCAAGTCAATGTCGCTAACGTGAGTAAACTAACTGATAGCATTAAGCTAACATCTACAGGCCATGATGGAACTGCTGACTGCATCTTCAGATGAGCTTGTTCAAATATTTCTTTAAGAAGAGAAAGACACCTGATGGAGATGATGCTAGCCAGTCATCATTAGCCTTTTACTGACTCATAAATGATGATGGTCAGGTAAAAAATAGTGTTCACACTGTAATCAGATGTGATGTGAGTGTAAATGATCTAACGCTAATATTTTATGTAATCATATAAGACAAGTAACATTAGACAGGGAGGAGCAGTGGAACAAAGTGAAGGAGAGCCGAGTGGAGGAGCAGGATTTAACGATGAATAGGGTAACACATTTAATAACATATCATCAGACACAAACTAGAAACAATTTTAAAATGATTAGGGTGTAGGAAATTGTTGTCATTATTGTTTCCATTTATAGGTGGAGACTGACTGGAGAAACAGGCTGCAGGGGATCAGCTTGCATCATAGATGCTGCTGAGCCTCTCAGAGAATTTCCCTACAACAGAGCCTTAGAGCTCTTCTATAAAAAAAAACTGAAAATTTAATTGTTCTGAGCCTGGGTGCAAACTTTGCTGCTGATTCTACAGCCCCATGAAGAAATTTTTACTTATTTATTTTTGTTTGTATTTATTTAATTGCATTGTTTTATTTTAGATTTTTTTTTAATTTTTACATTCAGCCTTAAAAAGCCATTTTCAACTGGCCCTTCAATAAATAGGTTGTAAAAATAAAATCTGCAGTAAAGTTTCATTCGTTTACATTGCCACAGCTCCCAGAGAGCCTGGGCCCACTGCTGAAAAAAATCCTAGAGGAAACACTGAGTAAGTAAAGTCATCTTTGCAGCACACAATGTTTAGACCTCTTAAAGTGTTTGACACATATAACATGACCCTGGCATGGGAGGTTCAGTCAGTATTAAAAAGCGACTCACTTCATTCCATCTTCCTTGTCTTCAGCTTCATTTTTTTCTTCATCCCGCTCTCCTTCCTTCTCTTTCTCTTCCTTCTCTTTGTCTTCCTGGCTGCTGCGGTTCACTTGTTGCTGCTGTTGCTGCTGCTGGCCGTGCTGTGATGAAAGAGACAAGAACAAGACACAAGCGGCTATGAACTGCATCCTTTTTGATATGACACTTCAATGTGTGAACACACAGAATTACCATAGAGAATTTATCAGCCAGTCAAGAGCGGTAAATGTTTATCTGTCTGAATAATAGTGCATTCTGCCCATCAGATTATTACAAAAAAGGGAGGGGTGTGAAAAGACTGCCTTGAGCATGTCAGAGGTTGATAGCTACTGCTTGTCTTCAGTAAATTTTTCCAATATTGCTCTGTAATTACAAGCCACTTTTTATCTCCTCTCAGCTCATGTATTTTCTGCTTGTGTGCAAACAGCGTGTGAGTTGGCACTTTCAGACTTTCAGACGTCTGAGACATGACTGCAGATGGTACGATGTCTGGCTGACTTTTTGATGAGATAAGAACTACAACATTGGTATTTAAAAAAAAATAGAAACATGAAACATAATCATCATTCCTAGCCTTGCCATTTTTTAAATCTTAAGCTTCCATTATTCGAAGTACAGAACATTTACGATTTGAAAAAATCCTATTCACTTTCAGCCTAGGCAAAACAAAACAGGATACGAAAGTTCCGAAATTACAGCAGCACAATTCTGCTGTATAACTTTTCCTCTTTAAGCACCCAGAACCACTTCCTTGCTAGTTTCCTGCCTGTCTGGGCTTTTGGGGTTAGAGTTCAGATTAGTGCAGACATGCAGCCTGACCAAACACCTTAAATACTGCTCCACACTGATGAAGCAGATCTTCATCAGGTGTCAAGATCCCCTACACCATTTGATATCTGCAGCTGCTGCCTCTACGCAAAAACTCATCTAAAGACTTGTTGATCTCTTTATTACATATGCGCGCTAAAAAAAATACAAAAAAAAAATACAAAAACTCCCCCAAAAACGGGAACATAAAAAGGAGCAGAGTAAGACGGCACAGAGAAAATTAATGGAATAAGTCCCTTTAATGTATAAAAGCCTTTCTCTCCATTAGCGCAGTATGACTGATGCCCTCTACCTCCCTTTAAAATTAACTCTGAAAACAATAAATGTTATAAGGCAATAGGACTTAATGGTCCCCCAGTCTCAAAATCTGTCTAACAATCATAAGTAGAGATCTGCACTGCATGTAAACATGTTCTGAGCTGATCCAGGGGGAGCTCTACAGAAAGTACAGTAATAGGGGCTGCTCCATTACTGCAAAGTGAAAAGAAAGACTCAGTTGGGCTGGAAACACATTAACATTGGCATTATGCTATTACTTATCCTCACTATTTCCCCTCCACCCAAACATAATTTCTATTAGCATTTGCAATCATTCTGATGTATAGCAACGCACTTTCTGTTCCTCCTCTGTAGGTACCTCCCTCTGTGACTGTGAGCTATTAGACCGAACTGCTACTCTGGAGATATGGAGCAAACCTCCAGGTAATGAGCAGAGGTTTCATGAGGAAAGATGAGGACACACCATCTTCACATCCGGAAAGGTCGGCAGTAAATTAATGTGTGCTTCATTAGTGCCCACCACCACAAAGTTTAACAGCTACCATCTTACAGGAGGATATCTAATAACTGGGAGCCTTCTGGCAGCTGTGGTTAAAAAAAATAATAATTTTGCACAAAGTGGTGACATGTAGGGTTCAACAAATTGTGGCACATGATCAGCACAGCCCAGTGACCTTTGGCACACTTCTGAATTGAGAGATTGTGTTTACACAGAAAACATTTTAAGCACGAAGGTGCCTCGTTTTCAGAACAGTTAATATCCTTTAGCACGCTGTATTTGTGCACCAGATAACCCATACTTGTCTCTATTACATGCCTTGTGAAGCACCCTGCGCTTTCAAACTTACAAAATGTTCAGCTCCACAAAGATAAGTGCCAAACCAATTCTTTCTACACTGTCCAACTGGATAAAATCTGAGTCATATCTTTCTTAAGTTACAGCCACTGCAGATAAGAAAAATACTAGAAAAGCTATTAGACCTGGAGTTTGATGACATGTTTTTTTTTTGGTTTGTTTTTTTTCCACCTAGCAAGTGGTACTAGTTCTTGTCAATAGATAAGTTCGTTATGTTACTGGCAGCAGCTATTGTGGTTGAAATACTGTGGTTCTGCATGTGCTTACAACCAAGGACAGAATGATGCACTTCAGATTTTCAGGCCTGTGGAACGTGTGAGTGGGCCTCAATGATCAGATGTAGAGCAACTGTTGGAACTGTGAGATTAAAAGCGGAGAATACCTGGCTTCTTCCTCGACGTCGGTAGTTCCTTCGCACTATGTTCTTATAGTTTTCATTCTTTTTGGTCAGGTAGTAAAAGAGGACACACTCTGCCACCGTCTGAAACATAAAAGAAATGCCGTTTTTTATTCCCCTCGGAGACAGGATCACTCTAAAAGAAACATGAAAATATAATGAATCAATACCTTTCGCTCCAGAAACGATGCAATCAGACCAAAGTTTTTGGGGTGCTGAATGAACCTGTGGGAGCAGAACAAAGCTAATTGTACAACTTGAAATCACTAGTATTTGTTCAGAGACTCAGAAAGAAGATCACAAAATAACACAAAGAGACTGACATCAGTGCTGACAACATTAATGCTAAATTTTAAAAAATGTGTTCTAGTTCACTGGTATGAAAAGAAAGTGAAGCTCTCTGTATGTGAGTAACTTTAAAGTCACTAATTTCACTGCGTGGGTCTGATTTGGCAGCTTTAGATGCCTCCTCTTGATTCTCACAAAAGGGGAAGATGTACTTCCTTAGCAACAACTTACTGACCTTTTATTGATCACACATATTTCACAGGGAGTAAAAAACACGTTACCTTGTTGCTTACAAATAAGTTTTCCAGCACCTTGTCTATTAAACAGGAGTGGGCAAAGCTAATATGTCTTTTGATTAAAATCTGAAATGTAGAGTTTAATGTCAAAAGAAATAGTAGGAAAGTCTACAGTCTGGTAATATATTGTATTCTGAGCACCAAATATGAAAATGTTACAGTCAAAAACTATTTGAGGTGTTTTTGGTAAAAGAAGAGCAAAGGAAGATTGTTGAATATAAAAAAACATCTATATCTTTGCTGCCTTAAGTGTTGTGCTTACTTCTCTCTGAAAGTGTCCTTCTCCTGCTCGCTCCACATATTCATAACCTGCCGGTCCTTGTACACCTTCATGGGGTCATCCATCAATCCATTCATGTTGATAAACTTGATGCGCTGCTGCTCAGCATCAAACAGCATAGGTGGGATGACCGCCAGCTGTCGCATTTGCTTCTCTGTGTTCTGATGTCCACAAATAACACACACACACACACACACAAGCACGAGACAGAAAAACAACATCCTGGAGTAAGTGGGCTGGTCTCAAGAGAAAAACAATCTAACAACACAGTGCTTATACAGTCATGCCCTATATGAAACCTAATGTGGTAATACATAATGGTTTGAAGTGTGGAAACATTTAGAAAAGAAAGAGAGGAAGTTCAGTGCGGTTTGTTGGCTCAGCATGCTAAGCATGTCCAACGTCAACTACTCTGGAAAAGATATATTTCCTGTCACTCTTCAATTTACAACCTTCCTAAGAAAACATGTGATAATGTCTGACTTTTGAACAGGGGGAGAGTAGCAAAGTGAATGCACAAAATAAGAAATACCAATTGGACACTGCAGACAACTACATTTGGTTTTAGCTGGATTCCAAATGTGTGAACTATAAGTTGCTGATTTTTATTGTATTTTTTAATGAACTACAACCTTGTTAGCTCAAATGACATGAATTTGGCTGGTATGTATGATGCGTACTTGGAGGGCTTGAGCAACTGCCAAAAATGTGTTTTTTGATAAGACTTATACTTTCAATACTAGACATTTTTCAAAAGCAGCAAAATTTGCAGCTAGTACAAGATTGTGATTTTATAGTCTGTGCTGAAGTTCACCCTTCTCTGCTTCAAAGTTTACTTCTTCATGGAACTATTATACAGTGGACGAGTACACGGACAATGATTACTGCTGCACCAGGAGCTGTGTGTCGACTGTGCACGTTATAAATGGAGGAAAGAGAAACGAGGGAAGACTGTAAAAATGAGACCGGCAGTAAAAACTGCCAGAAACTATCAAGGTTTTGGCAGCAGTCCAATTGAAAGCAGCTGTGCTGCTGTGCTTTCCACTGGGATGCGGTGGCCTTAAAGGGCTAGCATTTAGCTTTGGCTTGCCCTGCTAGCGTTGCTCTTACACATATTACTGTGGCATTCCATTCCATCTGTATAGCTGAGTGCCATATGTCTGAAATAAAACCAATGCGATCTAAGAGAGCTTGATTCACATTCATGCAGCTTATGTTATTATCTTTGTTACCAATGCTGTAAATGCTATTAATGTTATAATGCATATAGCGTGTAGTGCAATATATACATGTATATTACACACAGAAGCACTGCAAACATTTTAGACATTAAAAGTAAAGTTGCAATGCTTTCCAAACATAAGGCGAAACAAACAGGAAAAATAACCAAATCAAATCAAAATTAGATGTGAGACCCCGTTAGCAAACAAATAATTTACTTAAACACAGCTTTACATGCTACTTGTAGGTTGTTGAGGACTTGACTCAATTTCTATGTACTATTTATACATATACAGGACATTTGTATGTCATATAAATAAAAACACCATTTTTAATGAAAATGTCTCAGCGAAATATGATATTTTTTTCCCCTGGGTGTAGTGTAAACCTTGGCATGTAGGCCTGACAACAAAATCATACACCCTGATGTGTGGTGCCATCAAGAGTAGGAAATTCAACTGCAAAAGGGCGATTCTGTAAATAGACCCCAAGTGCTGCCGAACAGCAAGTGGAAGGATAAATTACTTTTAAAAGAAAAGCTTACCTCGTGCTCTGATATCCCATCAATGATTTCTGAGACTTCATGCTCACTGCGAGCTGCAGATGAGGTCAGCCCACCTCCTCGCTGCCCAACACGGCTACATAAGAATAAAAAAAAAAAAGGAAGACTTGTCACTCAAACCTACCTACATGTTACTGTGACTGAGCTGCCCACCTTGCAAAATGAAACAAATCTGCAGTCATTTTTTACAACAGAGGCAGTAACAAGGCAAGAAATCAAAGTGATTGTGTCTGTTTCTGAAATTAACAGAGTTCCTGTTGTGAAAGGGAGAAAAAAAATAATTCCCACCTCTGCATTCGCTCCTGCAGCTCTCTTTGCTTGCGGATCTCTGGGAACTGTTTCTCGTAGTACTCCCGCACCTTGCTCTCCTTGGCTCTACGCCGCGGGTTGTTTTCAATGCGCTCCACCTTCTTCTCCCAGGCTTCCATTAGCTGGTCATAGCGCTGGCAAAACTTCTGTTCCTGAAAGATCATAGAAAGAGAAAGATGTCAGTCCACTGCAGAGCCACTTAAATACAGTATCCCTTCATTTTATTTTTGCCTTTGAACCAGAGACACAAAACTAACAGACCAGTATAAGTCGGCAGAAATAAAAAAATAAATAAAAAAATTGACAGCTACAATTATAACAAGACAGAATATTTTACACTGCTGTATCATTGAAGATTTGTTTTCACTAATTATATTCAGTCATTTTGTCTCTCTGCTGTGTCCTATCATGTGCCCGTTGGATGTTCAGAGGGAGAAAAGTGACATGTTGGTATTCTACAGGGAGTCTAGCCTTGAACCACAACCCTGGCAGACGGCAGTCCTCTGTTTTCCTAGCTTCCTCACAGGCAGGCTGTAAAGCAGACCATTAACCCTGGTGGAGACATGACCCTCAGTGGGCTCATAAACCACAAGGTGATGTCTCCCCACACTCTGCCCACAAGCTGCAAACCTCCCCCACTTAGACACAGCACAAGAGAACAGTGGACACTCGCCCACAGCTCTCAGACTTTGATACAGGTGCTGCATTTGAACGCTTCTTTCTGGCCTCACAAAAATCCACAATAATAAATGGAGAGCTCCGAAATACTTGCTTCTGGCACCGTCTCAGAAGTTGGAAGCAGTTTAAAAAAAAAAAAAAAAGAAAGAACTGTTTTCTCATCAAATGTTCTACTTGTGGACGCGTGTAAATTTCATAGGACTTGATTTGCAATGATGATTTTCTGTAAAGCCAGTTGATTTTATGATGTCCGCTTGGCTCTAGCATCAGAGCTCACCCCATTGATCTGCGTTTTATTTATAGTCATGCTCTTTGGCTCAGTCTCGCTCAATCACTGGCAGGCAACAACACAGACTAACCCTGTACAATGCTCATTATTGTGTTTGGCCGACAGTGAATTCAATAGACATATAAAATTATACTTTCAGATGACTGTATGAGAGATATTTTTTTTTGTTTTGTTTTTCAAAAGCAATCTTTTTCCCAGTGCACAGTACAAGTACTGACAGCAGATCATGTCCAGAGCTCTTTTCCTCTCTGGTATGCCTAAAATGGCCACTCACTTCAAGGAGCAGCTGGCCCAGTTTTACACTAGTCATCCGTCATGGGCTGAGTCCCAGCAGAGAGTCAAAAATGTTGAGTTCACGACTTACCCACTGCTTACGAGCATGATTTCTCCTCTTGAAGTATAAGATGAGCTTCTTCCTCATCGCCTGGTTTCTGAGAGGGTGGAACAAAAGAGAGGGATGGAAAAAGGGGGGGTGACGGGACAGAAAGTGAAGAATAAGGTGAGAACTTTGAAGAAAACACTCGATATCAGACAGTGCTTTGGCTTTCATCACATTTGTCACATAATATATCCAAGTCTATGATGTTCACCAGATCCTCAGGTACACATTTTCTACCCTCTCTAGTTTCTCTGCCTCACTACCCAATAAATAAACAAAAAAATGCACTCTCTGTCTCTCTCTGTCAAACACACACACACACACACACACACTCGCTCACATAAACACAAACAATGCCTGTCCTTGTATGCCACCGCTCGATAAACTCAAACTTGCTTCTGGGTGGAAAGGACAGTGAGGGGAGCCAAACTTATAAAACTTGTCTGTGCTGGGAACAGCCAGCCACAGTGCTTCAAATAAAGGTCAGGGCCAGTAATCTCCTTAGGCAGCCACTCAGTTTGTCTCTTTCTTTGCTGCAAGACAGAGTTTTATTCCTGACACTTAATCTGTCACTTGTAAGGTCACGTTCCCCACTGATTAATGTAATCTTATTCTACATTAGACACTTCAGCTGAGCCGCAGGGTCCTTCAGGTCACAAGCAAGGACAGAAGACTAAGAAGTGGGCTACTGGTAAGGTTTGAATTTTGTTAAAATCTGAAGATAGCAGGATGACATTTCAGGTCTAGAGAGATAAACACTTCCGATGACCCGGTCTTCATTTTCCAAACATATTATCTGCAGTAACAAAACCAAGTTAAATCTAAATAGCCTCAACCTCCAACCTACATAAACACACCCACACACACAAACAGACACATGTTGAGCCATGCAACTGCAGCAGGAAAGATAAATGCTGCCAAATCCAGCTAGATACAGTAGATGTCCACATATTGTGGCATATAATGGGTGAGAACTAACTTGGTATGGCAAAAACAAGATTGATAGATTAAGCCCTTTAAAAACAGAGATGGCATTGTCCTCTGGACACCAGATGGCAAAGGGAAAGATTAGCAGTCCTGAACCCCTACAAAAGGTTTCCTTTGTCCTGCTCTAAGCCTGTGCCATTTCTGAGATATCGGAGAACACTGTAATTTGGCATAATACCTCTAAAACATGATGGCTGAAAGATTCATTATATGCACACTTGTGACAGATGTTCTGCAGTGGTACAACTGCGCCAAGCAAACACTTTTTAAACTTCAAAGTTTGAGTTTGTCTTTATAGTAGTAACCATATGCAAAGGATATTGGCAAATGAATCTTCAGCTTAGAGGTTAGAAGCACTGTATTTGCAGAGGATGGACTGGGATGGGGACTGAGAGCTCTACTGAGATATTGGTAGTCATCTATCCCAGCAGGGATGAATGCCAAGGTTATCAAACCAGTTAACAAAACAAAGAAGTCAATTGTGCTGGCTCAAAGCAACACACTGGTATTTAATAACACACACGGAGGGAGAGAGGACAGTTTTCAGTTAATTGCTTTGAGGCAATAATACTGATCAAACGGTGCAGGGATCAAAAGGAGTGAAGACAGCAGTGCGCGGCTAAGAGGTCAGGCACATCTTGTGGTATGCCACTGTGCCCAAACTACAGTGCCAGTGGTGGAGGCAAGCCATTATAACCCTCCTACAACCTTTTGATGTGCCTCAGTGAATTATGGTCCTTTAAAGATTACAGATGGAAATAAGCCTTATTGATAGACATGGCAGTGCCATCCAGTGTTGTCTACTTTCTGCTCCCCTTTCGGCAGATACCCACTGACATATGAAATTGACATGATTTATTAATCATTCACCTCAGGAAACCTTAACCCTGCTGAGAAATGCATACTGCTGTTAACAGCTCATATCATAATATCAGAAGCAAAATGCCAATTTTTACAGGCAATAGAGGCAATGTTTGATTGACTGCTTTTTTTTGGTTTGTTTTTTTTTTAAGTACTTGTAGTTACAGCACAGATGTTCTGAAGCAATATTCTTGGCAAAAATACTTAACAAAAGTTATGTATGACTTACTGTGCGTTTGCATATGTACATGTAACTGTTATTGGATCGCAGATTTAACCCTTATTTTAACCTATGTGGAAAGCTGTATAGACTTCTTGTTAGCCTTGTAGTGGTGTTAATCTACACGGTTGGTAGTCTGCCTGAAAGACACAGCTGCATACAAAGTAATCGACATGATGTAAAATTACTGCAGCTTTAAATTACATTTTCAAGATTCTCCTTAAGAAAAGAATGGCTAATCATTGCAAGATTTGAAGATCTCAAACAAAACAGGATTTTTTTTGTATACATTACATTAAATAGGAGAAACCATGTGTACTCAACTCAATAACACAGAGGTTTCTAATATACACTACACTTGCATAATTCTAGAAAATCTAGGAATTGATTTAAATGGAGGTGACAGAAGTTGACTGGAGGCAAAAATTACTGCAGTTTCTTAGCATATAGATTAATATGCTTGCTGATCTAAGTACCACAACGGATTCAGTGTCACATTTAAAATGATCACACTTTCACTTACAGCGCAAATCTTTTTTCACTTGGCATTTGCATTTTCTTTTACCCTGTGTAGCCTTCCTTGTTATGCACATGTATTCCGGTAAGTTTCATCACTAAGTTTAAAGAATGACAAAGTCACATCCCCCTCTGAAATGCCATTTTTTTCACTCTGTCAAAGGGGACAGGGAGAGCTGAAGTATGGTGTGAAGACCAGTGGTGAGTCTCTTTCAGTATGGGAATATACAACCACCACAGAAATGTAAATTATTTAAGTCAACAATTTAAAAAAAATATTCAGTCAATAACAGGTTCTAATTTAACAATCAGAGCTTTAAGTTAACATGAGTGTGGTATTCCAGTTTAAAGACTCTGGCTTCAAATGCATTTTTATATTTCACAGCATATCCATTTCTATTTAAAATATATAAAAACAAATATCCATCCTAGCTATCTGTGGTGAGATCATTTACACAGGAGCTCCTATCTAAAAAGTTAAACTCTTCAGCAGTTTGACAGTTATACTTTAGTGGTTGTGTATAAAACATGTTGAATAAAAAAGTGTGCAGGCATATGTAGTGACAGACTCACATTTTGATGTTCTCATGGTACTGTTTGGTATCAGAAGGCTGGTTGTACAGAGGCTGGAGCAGGACAAGAAACAAGCAGATAAAACAATCAGCCACATTTTCAATTGTGCAACAGACTGTAAACAATACATGAAGGCCATATGACACCCCCCCAGTATGTCATGAATATAACTCTGACCTTGTTTTAAATAAATGCACATAAAAATAACAGGAGATAGACAACACTCTGACTGACAAAAGTCTAATAACACAGTCAAATTGAATCCAAAGAACTCACTCAGAATGAATTCCCTCAAGGACAGAGCAAAATCTGTTTTGTGTAGCATCTTGCATAGCCTCAATAGCTCGGTTAAGGAATCGAATTTACAGAGCCACACAGTTTTTGTGACTGAGAGTAAGATGGATGGATAGGTAGATGGACAGAAGTGGGAAAAAAATGCGAACAAAGGTAGTCTGGGAATTTGTATCTAAGTAAAAGATTGGATTTTGAAAGTGATTGTGGGAACAAGCAACCTATTACCATTTGACTGTGAGTCATCTTATTTAACATTAAATATCAGCTGTAATGTTTAATGGCGCTTCAAGGAAAGCAATCAAGTATATTTACTTCATTTCTTTGCATCTCAGAGCTCATTTAATCCAGGCTTATTTCAACTCTCCCCTGAGCATGTTTCAACCCTCTAATGTGACCTTGTAAAAACGTAAGTGTGTGAAAAAGAAAACTACAAGACCAGAATAATGCCCCCCCCCCCAAAAAAAAAAAATCAAAGTCTCTACTTACCAGTTCTACCCTGGGTCCCAGTCCCTCCAGTATCCTGTGAGCCTCTTCTGCCTTTTTCTGGTGAGGGAAGACAAACAGAAGTAGTACATTAGCCAGCTGCCTGCACCTCTGTCATCACCACGGCAACGCAGTGAACATGCTCACTTGATCACTAAGGCTACACCACTGCTTGCCGGACGGATGGACGGCTGGATGCATGGAAGGATGGAGAGATGGATGCACTGACTATTATTAGAGCTTTTAACTCAAGCAGGGCCACAGCTCCTTGCCTCAGCTCCCTCTCCCCTTTCCCAGAAAAAAAAAAAAAAAAAAAAAA